ACCATTACCTACCTATAACCTCCCCTGACACCTGGGACTGACACCCAAATTGCCCTACATACCCATACCATACTAAAATCCTCCAAATATCACTTATAAAAGATGTCTACTAACTTCCGACTCATCCATCACTAGATCAAAAGGCTTGTATCTCCTTAACTACTCAAGCTATTAATAAACGGTCTGTACATCTGGTATCAGCAGAGCATTCTGCACAACTTTCATTTTTTGATGCGCCATCAGATCGGGACGGTGGGCGGGACCATGGGCGACCCCAAGATCAGCAGCCATCAGTAACTTTGATGGCAGTGATGGGATGAGGCGGGGGGAGGGCGGGCGGGGGCGGACGACGACAGCAGACAGCGATGATGACCTTCGCTGTCATCGTGTCATCCGGTGATCATCCTTTGATGCTCCGGCCAGCCCGCTCCCCAGCCCGCTCCCCCCACCCGGCCTCCCCCTTCCCCCCAAAGACCTCCCGTCTACTAACATCCTGTCCACTAACATCCAGAAGCGAGTTTAAGGAAACACCGCAGATTTCCATTATCCCCTCTAGTTAGAGCTTCACCCCCCCTGAGGCTCTAACTAGAGGGGATAAGTGGGCAGGTTAGGTGCTCGTAGCGCTTTTGCTCCACGGTCACCGACATCCCCGGCGTCTTCCCACCCAGCGTCATCGCACCCTGCTCGTTTGATGGAGTACACCAACTATGGCGTAAGAGTGCCACTGCCTTCCTCCTTACGCAGACCGGAATATGGCTATGGCCACCCATTGCGAGCCGAGCCGCTTCTCCGACATACCCTGGCTCATTTTCCCGCAGGGTAGCGAGATGAGGCCCACGCACCATCACGACCACTCCGCTTTACCCCAAGGTACCCGATACCGCCCAGCTGGCTCGTAGGCTGTCCCCACACATCTCAGCACCTTTAGCCGCAAACAACGAGTTCAACCGAGGAGGGTTCACATCCATCGACCGTGCGCTCTTGCTCCGCAGCGAAATCTCGGCTTCGCCATCGACGACGCCGTTCCCCTCCTCGTCATCTTTACGCTCTCTACCCTGGCCGACCGTCTTGCTGGCCGCTGACGACGGCCGATTCATACTCGATGAGCGCGCTTTCCGCCGGAAGCGTGGTGCTCGCCATTGGTGGTTTCAACCCGCCAACACCACAAATCGCGCCGCTTTGAACTTTCCATATGCCGCGTTTCGCGAGCCCCGCAAATTGGCTCCTCGACATCCCATACTGTCTTCCAAGCATGAACGGCGGCTGCATTGTCACTTCACGGCTGCGTTGGCGCGCGTATACTGCCCTTCCTGCTCCGCCTGGCGATATGACCGCGGCTGGTGCTCTTTCGCCTCGACTGCTCTCGAGAGCGTCCTCGCGCCAATCGCCAGCCAATATCTCATCTCCATCACACGATAATCTGGTTCAAAAGCCCCGTCTATACGGCTTTCGATCGACAGCACCGCTGATACTGGACACTGCGTTAAATTTATGGCGCAGCCACTACGTTCTTTGGTCTTCCTTCGGCTGGCGTATCCTCCGGAGTCCGGGGGCCACAATTCTCGTCCTTCTCCCTCGACAGCTTTACCGTCAGTACGATTCTGACCAGTGGCATGTCTGTCGGCTGGACATCCTTCTGGCACGCGTTTCTTCTACATTCACACATTTTCAGAGTAGTACCGTCTACATTTACTCTTATGGCTTTCTATACATTCCACTTATATATCGATTCCACGGATACCTCTGAGTCGGCGCTGAAGTATACATAGATTGTGTGTGTGTGTCAAAAAAAAGTATGTAGATATTCATAATTAGTCCTAGATAAGTAGTGTATGTGTGGTGAAAGCGAAGATACGTAGAGGCGACAGAAAGTGTCATCGATATACCGAAAATCCGTCGCAGAATGGCGCTGTCGTGGCAGTGTCGACTGGCAAATCTTCCTTCCCATCCAGCGCCCGTATATCTCGGGGCAGCCGGCAAGAACGAGTCGAGACAGGGCTTGTCCTCGAGATGTGTGTCCATCGTCTTTGACAATAACATCGCTTATCGACTGAAGCTGGGGATACATTGTCAACGTCGATGGTCGTGGTATCGACGGAGTAGACATATTCGGGGAGACCATTTGGGTCGGATCGGTGAGTCATCCGCAACACCGACGATTTCCACTCGAGATGCAACTACTCCGCGGGCTGGGGGAGCGGAAGATGTGCGAGGCAACGTTTATACGCATGCAGAGCGCCGGAAACGGTGATACAGCAATGTGGAGGGGGAGGGTTATGGCGACATCCAAACCTGGGCAACGAAACCGTGCTTCAAGAAGAGGGGCTGATGGAAGAGGACTATTCAATATTGGGGAGATCGTAGATCGTCTGTTGGCCTCGCGTAAGGCTGCGCCAAGGAAGTCGCATGCGTGGCGACATTCGGCAGGAACGTGAGGTCGAGCGTTGGAATGGAGAAGCCGTGGTTTGGGCCAGAAAAGGCTCCGAGCCACGAGAAAAGCGTGGTGGCCATAGCAGGGACTTTGCACGAAAACAGCAGCGGCGATGGTGTTTCCCGGACCGCATATCGGTGGTGCGAAGATTGAATGCCTCCATGATACAACGAGACAGTTTTTCGGCCATCTGCTGGCCAAGGACTGCGTTATATGACGGGGGAGGAGGAGGGCGTTGGCGATGTCGAGAATGAGGCACGTTCTGGAGCAGCGGCGGGGGATGGAGGGATGGGAGATGAGGTGCGGGAAGCGGTTTGCTGGGATGTTAAAGGCCGCCGAGGGAAGATCTTCGTCGTGGAGGGTATTGGTGCCACATTCGACGACAAGCAAGGAAACGTTGTCCAGCCCGTATTACTGTAAATCGTTGGTGAAGACAAGTGTCGCTATGCGGAGAGGGGAGAGTATGGTTCCGAGAATGTGGGATGAGGATACATTGCGGCTGAGTCAAGAGCATCGGAACGGGGGAGGGGCAGGCTCGAGATTGGCCACGTACCCGGCATTCGGCCCCTAACTTTCCCATCTACCATCATGTTGCACCAGATACTCCCCCATCTGGTTCTGCGCGTTGCATGGGTCGCGCCTTGTCACGCAATCGGCACCGGTCAGCGCCGAAGGCATCCCCTGCGGACAGCATGCTTGTCAGTGGCACGAACAAGGGAACAAGCCAGGGCACGCGCCTCGTGGGACGTGCGTCATCGTTGTGGCTGACGAGGGCTGGGCCTTCGTTGTGGTCGCCATCTCGTTGGCGCCCCCAAGAACATCGGCGAAGACGTGGCGCGACTTTCCCCAGCCTGGAACACGCGGAGTTAGCATGCAGACTATCGAAGGAGAGTGTCCTCTACCGTAACCCGTCTGCACGCAGAGCCATGGCGCGGACGTCTAAAGCGGGGGAGGGGGAACGGAGGGAAGGAACGGGAAGAAGAACTAAAGGTTATCCGCCCACCAGTGTGGGGCAGGCCGAAATTTCTCCAGCGACAGGTGACAGTGATGGTAACCCAGATACTGCGACGACCAAGCGACAACAACGCCTATGATCCCGCCAACGTGCGCCGACGACGGATCGCAATGGCCGGCCAGCGGCGAGGTAGCAGAGATCTGCTTGATCTGCTCCGCCGTGAATAGAGCATCTGAGAAGTCGTCCGGAGTGATTGGTTCCAGTCCGAGCAAGTCCGACGCGTCAAAGTTTGCGCCACCATTGCCGCGTGAGTTCTTCATCTTTGAGTCTATATTCTCCTTCTCCGATCCGGATTCGTCAGCTGAATCCACGGTCACGCGTGATTTGGCACGCTTCTCGCGTGCAAGCAATGCGGCGCGTTCTAAGCAGGGCCGACACTTGGTCCCAATTTTAAGGCCGTCGGCACCAAGCGTTGCTTTCCAATTCAGCGCGTCAAGGACCTTGTGCTTGCGACAGTTCTTGCAATATCGTTCGTGGTCTTCTTCCTGAGAAGGTCTTGCCATCTTTGACGCGTTGGGTGCCATTGGGTTGGGACAGCGAAGGTGATGCGGAGAACGCGACACGTTGAGTCACACACATCTGATTTGTGACAATATGACGAATACAGGCGCCTCTAGAACTAACAGCTGAAATCGTGGACTTTGAGCACGAATGGCCGTGGGACGTCACCGGATCTCTGGCGAGGGTTACCATCACTGTCACCTGTCGCCGGAGAAATTTCGGCCTGCCCCACACTGGTGGGCGGATAACCTAGTGGAAGAAGATCTGCGTGATTGACGTGGCGCGCACGGACCATGCGGTGCCGCACGTGCCACGTCAGTCACTTCTTCGTCCCGACGTCCATGTGCCCGAGTGCTTCCCTGCGTGCAGCAGGTCCTGGGCTCGACGGGGGTTTGCGAGGCACTGGTACGCGGCTCAGATAAGTTGTCTAGCACATTACAAGCAAAGTTTTCGGTGCGTCCTCACATGTTTTTGTCAGCGTCAGCAATACTTAACAGCCCTGCATTAATCCTTCCATGTATAGCTCTTCACACTCCCCGGAGATATAGTACTCGATGCCTCTCTCTCCACGCCGCTGCCCACATACTACCAACAGTTCATCCGCCGCTTGCCGTCGTCTCGCTGTTCAAGGACCTCGCGTTGCTGACCGACAAAATTCTAAATCTCACACGATGCCAACCCCCGGGTCTACTCGTTTCCCCTTGGCGGCCAGCTGGCGATTGAGGACAACCCTGATCATGAGCGACACAGTGTCTAATGGCTTGCTTGGCGCGCTGGCGGCCAGCGCTCTCCAGATTCAACAATACCCTGGTCGCGACCAATGTGCTCGCCGTCCTCGATCGCCCCGGCAATATCTCACTGAATCTTCTCGCTGCTTGCAGGACTTTGAGTGGGATTCCAGGGCCAGTGCCCTCTCTTGGGCAAAGTCAATACAGGTAGCGACAAATTGTGCTCCGATCTACTGCATTCTTTCCGTGTCGTTGACCCCTCGTATGCTTTCTACGCTCGTCCTAATTCCCCCTTGTTCCATTGCAAAAGGCAAAGCCTGAGGCGCTATTCGATGAAGCCCTGGCTGTGCACTATCGTGTCCCCCGGGCCGACCGGCTGCATAACTACTACAGCTATTTGGTTGTCAGCGATATGTACATCCACGACTAAACACACGACCCACCAGAATGCGCAACTAGTCCGTCTTCCTTCACAAGTGCGGCGATCTGCGAGGCATAACTCTCTACATCCGCGGCCGAGCCACCCGCGGCCATAATGTCCACAGCCAGCCGGTGGAGCCCAGTGAACAGCTTGCCGGTTGCCGATCGGAGCGGGAGCGCATACGAGCGCACGTCGAGTGAGTACACTGGATATGGCACGCGCAGGTCGAGCATGTGTAGCATCACGCGCCCGGCGTCAAATGCTCGGCGCATTGGCGTCCCGCTGCCTGGCGCGCCATAGAACCCTGCATATGGCGTCCTATCCAGCGGGAGGATGGTTGCACTCGCCAGGAGGAAGCCCTCGTTGTTGGCGTAGAAGTCCTCGTAACGGTACACCCAGCGAATCGCCAGCTCGGTGTTCAAGTTATTGCTCATGAGGTTCAGGAGGCCCTTCAACAGTAGGGGTGCAATCGCGGATCGCTGCACCTCGTAGTCGTGGTTCAACAGCGCAATCGTAAATTCGCGGTCAGCATAGTGCGACAGCATATCTAGCGCTGCAAAAATGGGAAATATATCTCCGGCAATATGCGGCACGTACAATCTGGTATAGCGAGTTTGGCGCAGTCCAGGCGGTGGTTGCCATATCGCCAGTCCTGTCGCTGGCATGATCTGGAGCAATACAGACGGTGACGACACCCACCACAGCGCTTCATCGCATGCCGCTCCCAGATGTTACAGCACTGGGATAGCATCGATAGAGAACGGTTAAGAAGTATGACAGCCACGTACATCGAGATTGGAGCACGCAACCAGTGCCGTTTCCGAGCTTCGATCTTTGTAGGCACTAAACACCACAGTGCGGCTGATGCCCTGCTCCTTGAGCCGGTTCCATACGCGCAGCAGTTCGGGCGACGGGATGTACAGTGCAGAGTCCATATCATGCACTTTTAGCAAAGCTTCGTGGAGTACGGCGGCAACGGGGCGGAGTGGCAGCAAAGGAGGTAGCGTTTCGCGGAACAGTTCGATGAGCAAATTCGTATTGGCGGGTGACAACCAGCGGGCCACTGTACGGAGAACCACAAAGAGGCCTGCCTTGATGCACTGTGCGATGCGCACCCCCACTTGCTGCCATGGCCCATTGAGCACTCGAACTAGAAGTGACAGCCCGTCGTGCAGAAGCTCGGCCCGCATTCCGTCGGCAGGTGTTGCTGCGCTCAAAGAGCAGCAGATGGTGGTCAGCGCAGCAACAATCCCCTCGCTCTGGAGTTCCTCCGTCAAGCCGTTATCGAGTGCGAGTCGCAGGAGGGTGAAAAGGCTGGCGGCACGGCGGAGACTTGCGGAGGAGGCAGGTGTTGCGGCTGGCCATTGATTGCACAGGTCGGTCACAATGACCGTAGCCAGCGCACGCTTCCCTCCAGCGCCCTCTGTAATGTCCCTGATGATGTCTGTGTCTGTAGAGCGCATGATGAGCGTCAGCGGCATGGCAAGATCCTGCAAGCTAGCCACATCGTCGGGCTCCATCTGCACTAAATGTGCCCATGCCTCTCCGAACATGATGCGGAAGCCGCGCGTCTCTCCGACGACGGCGCTATCCAGCGTGATAGAGTGGTCTAGGAGGCGTGTCAACATCCGCAGCCAAAGCGCTGGCAGCTCCCCCGACGGGGTCGCACTGTTGCTACGCAAGAGCGACCACGGAAGCCAAACTTGCAGCGCCATTGTATATTCGGACAGGAATTTGATCCACGGCAAGCAGCGGCGCCATATGTCGGAGAGCGCGGCGGCGGTGATCACGTGTGTGACGCGCTGCACGCCGTCAATACCCCACGCCGCACACGTTGCATGCGTCCGGGCGGCGTTGATGTTCTCCTCGACAAAGCCCGGGGCACAGAGCTCGGGGAGGACACCGGTATCGAGCATGTCGTAGAACACCGGGAGGAGCAGTGCGCTGTGCTCCTGCGTCCTGGCTGCTGCTGCAAGCACGTCCAGCCCCTCCGTCATGTCCGCCCCGCGACGGAGCACTTTTTCTGCCGCAATCTGGGGGGCAGAGGTAACCGTCAGCGGAGTGAAGTCATTGAGAACTGCAAACCTTCAGCGACAAGGGCAGCCTGTGCATCTTGGAGAGCCGGAGCGAGTCGTGCATGGTGGCGCGAGACAACCTGCGCCATCGATGGTTATCGCGATCAATCAGTCAACAACAACACGTGCAGCCACGTGACGACACATGAGCTTGTCGAGCACAAGCTGATATAAAATGCTGCCGTAAAGACGTCGAATTGAACGTTGCTCCTGACAAATGCATCCATTCCCACCGCGGATTACAGATTGAACAAAACCAGAGTTGTGGCCCTGAAAGGCAGTCGAATCGACGGCCTCAATTCAAAGTGGTCGAGTATCGTTGGCGTTTGGACTAAAGAGTCTGAGCCGGTAAGTCTACGAAAGACTTCGAGGTGGGCCGTCAGCAAGAACAAGGGGAACCCAGAACAAAACAAGACGCACCGTGTTAAATATGCACAAGTTCTGGCCACTGATCACGCTCTCCTTCGTGCCACGCTCGATCCAGGGGGATATAGCGCGGGAGAGATTGCGGCTGAATGGTGCATTAGCAGGAGCGGGAGCGGCCTCGCGCTTGGCCACGTACGCGTTCTCCCGTCTGAAATTGCCTTATCTATGACAAGAATTGCCCCCAAGGTCCTCCTGCTCGCCGTTCTGCGCACCACGTTGTTGTGCTAGCCACGCAAAGCGGTCCCTGCAAGAGGCGTGCTTGTGAGCGCCGACAGGACCCAGGGGAGCCAACGCACTATGTTTCTCTGTTCGTCAGCCCATCGTTATCGCTTTGATTGATTTCCAGCAATATTCTTGCAGTTGTGCTAGTAAGATGGACGCCGCGTCGACGATCTGCAGCATGCTTCCGGCTTGGGCAAGCCCGCACGCCACTCAACAGCTCTCATAGCGAAGAGGCTGATGTTTGGAGACATGGCCAGTGGCAAATGGCGCTTGCGTGTACCTATGCGGCCTATGGCAAGCGGGGGGAAAGAGAGCTACGAGAGAACCCACACAGTGGGACTAGGTGAAGCGAGTTTTGGGGGCGTTTAGCAGAACTGGTTGACCAACAACAAACGCGGGCCCATGCGGGGTGGCAAGCAGCAACTGAGAGAGAGCCGACCGACGGAGACATGAGTCGGTCCGACCCGGTCGCAGTGTAGGAGAGCGAGGAAGCAGGCGCGTCGTCAGTGACCGCAGGGGACAGGAGCTTAGTTGGAGGTGGGGCCGCAGCGCGTCGTGAAACACGAGGTAGTCAGAGGTTGCCGGCGCCTTTGTCGAGTATGGTTTTATTGTCGTTCCATGGAGAGCAACAAGCGGTCCAGTAGCCTGAAGCCGTGAGTGAGCGGAGATGCGTCGAAATGGAGCAGCAGTGACACACCAACACCTCTATCCATCCGCATATAGGCAGTCCGGCCTGCAGGCCGTGTACTCCACCATGACGTCGCACAACGCGCACGGCGTTGCGACCAGCGGCAGCCTGAGCGGGGCGGCCGACGGGCGTTCGACACATGGTGGTTGCGGACAAGACGCGTTTGACGTGGCACGTGCGTGACAGCATGGTCCGTGCGCGCCACGTCAATCACGCGCGGATCCCCGTTCCTTGCTTCCTTTCCCCCTCTTCGACTCGCCGTCTTTCTGCTCGTCGTCGCGGAGGCATTCGTCTTTCCGCCCCAAGTCGCTACTGCTGGCTGCCTTAGGCAGGCGTTGGGCCCTCGCTCGCTCGTCCGGCCCGCCAGGCCGTCAGGGCTTGCGCTTGCAGGGCTGTCTGCCCTGACCAGCTGCTCGGAGAAGCCCACGCAGCTCCGGCGTCGTTGGGGCGCGTGCTCGGTAAGTGGCATGTCCTCTTTGCCTTAGTGTCACGCGCTGCCCTTCTTCTAAGACACTCGCACACCTTCCTCGAAGCGGAGTGGATGGACAGTGAGACATCGGCGGATGGGCCTAGCTTGCGGCACATTGGGGCGGGAAGGATGGCGACAGGTGAGCGCCCTCAGCGGCCAAGTAACGAGGTGCGTTTACGGGTTCTCCTTCTTGTGGCGTATGCTGACTGGAATTTTAGAGCTCGTGTATGAGTGTACTTAAAACATGACCTTGTTGCGCCTCCCCTTTCTGCTGCCGTGAAAAGACGACTGTCGATGGAGTCACAGCTCACGATAGCTTTACTGAGGCTCTTAACACACGCATCGCATCCCTCCGCTACAGCGGCGCGACCATACTTATCTCTTCTATATCCTAGCGGCTCGTCTTCGACACGATAACAGTGCTCTGGGCCTTGCCCCACACTTGTCGCCACCTTACACTCCCTCTGGCTCCGGAATTCCCCGACTTAACCCGTTGTCCGCACCTCCAGCTTTCCATCGTCCTGTCCCTCCCCTTAGGCTAGGAACCACGTCGACGAGCTGGAAATCGCGAGTTCAACTTCTCAGGTGTTGACGGGCGAAAGCACTGTCGCAGCCACGTCCTTGCAGTCTGCTCGCCGGTCTTTGTGTGCTGAACACCGGAGCCTTGATTGAAACGATATCCAAGCAGATCCCTGATTCGCTGGGCACGCCTGGCCACCCCTTGGCTTGATACGTGCTTAAAAATATTCCTTCACGAAATGATGCAGAAGGGCGAGCACGCGTCGAACATGCAACATCATCAAATCAAACGATTCGCTGGGTTTGACGGATTGAGGTGCGTCCTTGTCAATTCCGTTGTCTTGACATTCAATAGCTCTGTCGCAGCCTTTCGTCTGCGAGCTATGCACTGTTTTACTGCATATTGCACGCCCTGCAGAAAATGTTCGCCTTCTATTTGCTGACTCGTTTCACGCGCCGAGACAGCGGCCGACTGCGGTCCCCGTGTGCCTGGGAATTACTAATTTACGCCTCATGGTCCGGCGTTTGTTGATTTGTGGCAGATGCACATTTTTACCGTCTTGCTCGCCGTAATGGCTGGCTTGCTAGCAGTCAGTTGCAAAATTGCTTCATGGCAGCCGGGAAATCCCAGGCGGTGCGCTGTTCGGTGCAGGGCTGACCAAATACAGGGAGTTTTTCGTAACCAATTTTTTGTTTCTTCAAGTTCTTCGTCGACGACTATATCTTTTCAATTATGGCTGCGCAATCCAACTCTGCATATCCGCCCTCTCCTGCCTCACGCCACTCGTTCCTCGCTGACGCGCGCGTCTTCCAGGCCGACGATGCCCAGGGCCCTGAGCCGCAACGCAGGCGGTCTCGATCTGAATATCGGATGTCTGGAGGGCAGTGTCGTGGGCTCACTGGCAGGCTGCCATACCCCGTGCGATCATGGTGAAGATCGGAATGGGTGAGGCGCGTGGACAGTTGCAATGGAAGAGTGTGCCGAGGGCTTTGTCACCGGCCGGCGGGAGAGCCTGACGACAGGCCACAGTCCACTGGCAAGCCGCAGGTACGGTGTGGTAGTAGGACGTCAATGCCATGCAGCCACGATCTCTGTTCGGCACAGTTGTGAGCTTTAAATACTGCTCAATCTTCTTTTGCTGCGCGGAATGGCCTAGTGCGTCAATGAGAGAAGGGAGAGAATTTTTAGAGGCGCGCAACGGCGTCTTTCGGCCGAGGACTCAAACAAATCAAAGCGTGTCATGCCCCCGAGTAACAGCTGAGAGAAAGGGTGACGGTGAGGCCCTGAGGGACTTGCGGAGCGATGGTAGGACGAGCAGGTCGAGCCTCAGGAACTATGACAGGGACACGAAGGAACACCTTGCACTGTTCCATAAACGTGCCCAGAATGGAGGTTGTCCAGCAATGATAAGTGCTCCCGCTGGAATACCCTAAGCCCAGGATGAATGCCAAGAAGTAAGGGCGACGGCCACGGACCTTCCAGGCTAGTAGTAGTCCTCCTGCCGAATGTATGGTGCGGCGAACGATGACGAGCGCGCGCAGAACAGATTGTGCGCCACCCGGTGAGAAGCAGCGCCCCGGCGCCTTGAGCGCAGGGTTCGTTTTGAATCGGAGGCAGGGCTGAGATTTTTGAAGACAGTTCGCATATAGTACACGATTTAGCACGCATCCGGCCGCATGACACAGAGAACTTTCTTGACTTGGAGACAATTGGCGCGGAGATGGGCTTGTGGTGGCGCGCGGAGGGACATAGGCGCAGTACGACGAAGGAGGGCAGCCAGTGTCAAAAGGAATGAGTTGCCAACTTTGAAGCACGGGGTCTACCAGCGCTTGTCGTGCGGGGATTCTATAGCTAGTACCGTATCGCGCATAGGAACAAGCAATCTAAGAGCTTGGAGGTGTAGGTGAGCAGAGCAATATGGGTTGGATATGACGCACCACTCACTGGCCGAGTCTCAACCCCGTCTGCATCCATCCGGCTAGCCGCTAAGTATCAGCACTGCAACTTTACAAACCACTGCTGCAGCGTCTTGCGGGGCCGTCAATGAGACTGGGCGACCGGCACGCGACGGCAAACGGGCACAGCTCGTGCGAGGCCACCGAGCGCAGCTCCCGGTGTTTCCGACATGGTGGTTACGGAGAAAGACGCATTTGACGTGGCACGTGCGTGACGGCATGGTCCGTGCGCGCCACGTCAATCACGCGTGTATCCCCGTTTCTTGCTTCCTTTCCCTCTCCTCTGGCTTGTGCAGAAGCATATGTCTGCTGCCCAAGGTCGGCAATACTAGTTGCCACAGGCTGGCGGTCGGCCCCGACTCGCTGCTCGGGGCAGCTTGCGCATACGCGACACTTCAATCTCTTCCGCCCTAACAAGCTGCTCAGAGAGGCCCACGCACAGGTCTGGAGGCTGCTTCGTACGTACCATTACCATGTCCTCTTCGCCTCACTATCACGCTGCTCTTCTTGTCGAGGGCTCACACCCGGATATTGGATGGGCACGCATTGCAAGACCTTCGGGTGGGAAGGATGGGGATATGCAAGAGAAGATAAGCAACTACGTGCGTTTACAGTTTCTCCTGGTTGTGACGCCTGCTAACTGATTTTTTCCAGCTAATGTACCTTTATAACTCTGAAATAACAGGCGCTTTCTCTTTGCACCGCAGTGACGAGACGCGTGTAGATTGAGTCGCCGCTTACGGCGGTTCTACTGAGCCGCTAATGAACGCGCACCATCCCTCCG